TTTTTCCTTTTAAAAAAAAAAGAGGACATTTTTACAATATGGTGCATATTTCTGTGAAATGGCAAGCCTTCTAAAAATACTTAGAGAGAACACTGCAATAATCATAAAAATGACTGACATTATTGTGTGTAGCAAAAATTCATTACATATAAATCCAGATTGATTTGTAAATTTTGAACTATTTAAAATTTGAGTTGCAATAAAAGTCAAATTAGTTCATAGTTATTTATGCAACTTATATTTTTAATTAAAATACACTTTTATGTGTTAACAACCACATGTACAATAGAAGATAGATTAAAAATATCAAATGGAAAAAAAAAAGAAGTCATACTAATAGTTAAAAAAGGAAATAAATAAATATTACCTAGTTTATAATCATTCACAAATAGTATAACATTCATATTAATTATTCACTATTGAGAAGAAAAAAAATCTTCTAGAAATGATCCATCTTGTTACAGAAATGCAATAGGCAAGGCAGCTTAAAGCCAAATAAGAAAATTTTTTTTATCACTAAGTGAAACAATCAATAAGAATAAAGAGAGATTCAAGGTGTGCAATATAAAACAAAATAAAAAAATAAATAAAATAACATACAAAACATCTAATAAATGCATTTTACAAGAATAAAATATTTAACAATGAATATTATTATGAACAGTTTTATATTTGATAAATTTCTGTAGGAAAAAAATCATTACTAAATTTAGTATTTTTCCCATAATAAACCACAAGTAAATTCAAGTATTTTTTTTTAACACAAAATAAAATATAGCCCCCCCTCCCAGAAAATAATAATAATAAAACATAAAACAGTTTGTAGTCTAAATTCATGTTACAAAATTGCATCATAAGTGCAGAAAAAAAGGCACATTCATACATAATAATATATAGATTTTGATATACGTAAGAACAAATTTAAGTCTAATTGAATGCCTGACATTAATCTTGATTGAAGTTGGATCATGATTAAAAAGAATTTATGACTGCTAAAAATAATCTAAAATAATAAAAATATCAATGATACAATAATACATTAAATGCCCATATTCAACATATCTTAATAGTTTTCTTAACACTTTAAGCGTCCTTTTTAGCAGGGTTCATTCTAGACCTTAAAAACGGCAGGACATTAGAAACTGAAAAGGAGACTATCCGTCCAAAAAGGGGCATTGTATTTCACAAATATTTACATAAGTTTTAAGATACTCAAAATTTACGCAGTTCTAAATTAATTCAATTGCAGAAAAAGTGATTAGAAATGTGGGTTTATGATGAAATGTCAGTGAAATTCACTAGCAGTGACATCATACAAATTATATCAGAATTTAAAAAACCTCGAGGAAATAGTCAGAACAACAAACAGCTTCCGTGAGAACTATTGTCAAGAAACAACAAACAGCTTCCAAGAAACCTATTATAAAACAATGAGAAATTGTGATGGAATCATCATGAATCGAATGCCATAATAACGTTGTATTAAAAATATCAGTACTAAAAAAACCAAGTGAAAGTTGCAGATAAAATGATAAGTGTCAAAAAAACTATTATAAAAAATGAGAAATTGTGATGGAATCATCATGAATCGAATGTCATAATAACATTGTATTAAAAATATCAGAACTAAAAAAAATTTGAAAGTTGCACATAAAATGATAAGTGTCAAAAAAACTATTATAAAACAAGAAATTGTGATGGAATTGTCATGAATCGAATGTCATAATAACATATTATTAAAAATATTGGAATTGGAAAAACCATGTGAAAGTTGCAGATAAAATGACAAATGTAAAAAAACCTATTGAGAAATTGTGACGGAATTGTTGTGATGAATCGAATGCCATAATAACATTGTATTAAAAATATCAGAACTGGAAAAACCACGTGAAAATTGTAAATAAAATGATAAATGTAAAAAACCCTATTGAGAAATTGTGATGGAATAGTCATGAATCAAATGTCATAATAACATTGTATGAAAAATATTGGAACTGGAAAAAATATGTGAAAGTTGCAGATAAAATGATAAATGTCAAAAAATCTATTATAAAACAATGAAAAATTGTCATGGAATCGTCAGACCCATATAATATACCCTGATACCGTTCTCGGAAAATTCATCACCATTGTGGAAAATTTCTTACGAATAAAAGAAAAAGTAATTCGCCTTTTGAAAAAAATTTATATTTTTCAAATTTCCAAGATAAGTCAATAATCATTTTTAAACTTTTTTATACAAATGCAAAAGTGATTTCCAATTACATGCACAAGATTTAAAAAATCCCACATTATGATTCCTATTTATTGAATTTAAGATAGCACACTGTGTTTTGTATTTACATGATTTTATATCAAATATCATGTTTCTTATTAATGCGATTTAAAGATTAGACACCAAAATTAACATTCGCGCAATTTTAAAATTAAATATCGAGATTCATATTTTTGTGATTTTAAAATCAAACATAAAGATTTGTAGAAACAGATTTTAAAATTAAACATTGAGATTCATAGTTATGTGTTTTTAAAATTTAATGTCTTGTTTCGTATTTAAAAGTGAAATATCGGGATTCGTATTCTAGTGATTTTAAAATCAAACATAAAGATTCGTAACAGATTTTAAAATTAAATATTGAGATTCGTTTTAAAGTGCTTTTAAAATTTTATGTATTTGTGATTTAAAAATCACACATTGAGATTCATATTCAGGCAAGAATTGCAAATAAATTTCACCAAATTGAGGTGGCGGGGATAAGATTGAAACTATTTACAAAAGTAAATAAATCAATGTGTGCAGAAAGTTTATTTTTTTATTGAGATTTTGTGTTCACAGATAGTTTTTTCCTTTTATCTAACTCTAGGAATTGTTGTGATTCGAACATGTCAAAAAGTGATAACTTAAATTTGAAATTCGTATGTCGTATAAAGAATATCGTAATTTGGAAAACCATGGGAAAGCGGCTGATAAAATTATAAATAACTTTAAGAATGAAAAACTATCATAAAAAAAAGGAAATTGCGACAGAATTGCCCAAAATCAAATGCTTTAAAAAAGTGATAGTTCAAGTTGAAATGCGCATGTTGCAATAATGTATTAACTTTATAAGAATTGAAATAACCATAAGGCAAAGATCAGAAAAACAATTAAGATTGAAAAATGTTTGGAGAAACATATGGATTTATAAAAAAAAAGTGGCGCAAATAGAATGTTTTCCTTTTTAATATATCTGGTGCATAATCAGGTTTAAGGAGTATGCATGACGCAAATGTCGCATTTAAAAAACAAATGAAGGGCCCTGCCCTGCAAACTCCGCCTAGAATGAACTTTGCTATCAGTTTAAGGTTTTCAGTTGTATAATTAACAATTTTTTTCCCCCTAAGTTATTTAATAAAAACTGTGCTTAATGAATAAATTTTTGTGCAAATTTGTCTAAATAGTACATAAATTAAAATAAGAAACTAATTAAGTAAAAAAACCAACTAATTCATGACAGAAATATATTTAAAATTAAAAATTAATGTAAATATATTATGGTAGACCTAAGATTCAAACATAAATACTAACTATCAATGTTATGTAATATTATTCTTTTTAATCATAGCTCAATTTAGACGAGATAAAACTTTATCCAAATATTTGTAGAGTTTAAATGAAAGTTTTAAGAGTTTTGTAAAATGTGTAATAGTTTTTCATTTTTTCACTTCTTGAAAATACATGTTTTCAACCATATGTCATCAAATTCCCCTTTTAAGAACTTAAATTTTTATTTGATGTCGTACAAAAATTGAACAAACAAAATATATAGGTCAGGGTTGGCAGGTTTTTGACATGTGACAGTTTTTGACAGTTTAAACNGTCAAAAACCCAACCCTGATATAGGTAATATCTCTAAAAAGGAACTAATCTTAGTAAAAAGAATATTAATTGAACAAAAATGCTTATTTGTATCAAATAACAAATAAAACTTGAATCGATTAGCCTCCTTTTTAAAATAATAAGGAGAAAAAAAAATAAAATAAAGGAAATTAGACATCCTAAATTGGCTTTGAACAGGACACTTGTGTTTTACTGTCTTTGTCTTAAAGAATCCTAAATCTTGAACTTCTTGAAGGTGTAACCATTGTACACATTATTACATATATTAATAAATATTTGATATTTTTTATACAATTTGCTTTAACTGAAAATAANAATAAAATAAAGGAAATTAGACATCCTAAATTGGCTTTGAACAGGACACTTGTGCTTTACTGTCTTTGTCTTAAAGAATCCTAAACCTTGAACTTTGGTAAAAGGTAAAAATTCTGAAAGGTGTAACCATTGTGCACATTATTACATATATTAATAAATATTTGATATTTTTTATACAATTTGCTTTAACTGAAAATAATATAATAAGAAAATATAAGTTTTGAAGCTCCACAATTCATTGAACAACAAAAGTGAATACAATATCTTTTAAATATGAATAAATATGCTTTTAATACTGATAAATTATGTTTTTGCATAAGGATAAATAATGCAATATTAAAAATAATAATGAACTTTTTTAATGAAACAAAAACTTGTCTTCATTTTGTTTCTTGTTCAAGAATTAACCTTTTATTTTTAACAATATTTTTTTTTAATGGAAACAATTTTAATAAAAGGGTTTCGGACAGTTTAAGAAAATTTTGGGCAAGCAGGTTTTAGACAGTAAGGTTTAAACCGCGGATAATTAGAGAAAAAAAGCATAAATATAAGTAATTAAAATCCAATACCTTAAAACAGGGGTTCCCAATTTTTTTCGGTTAAGGAACCTTAAATCAACCTTCTTTCAGCTGATTTCTGACTTTATAAAAAAAGGTAATTTTGAACCTTATGACCTATAAAAGACAATTTTTGATTATTTAGCTAAAGATATGAAGAATTTTGTTTTATAATAAACAATCTAAAACTATGTTTTATGTCCAATAGTTGAATTTGTGGCCCTTGTTCTACATTTGGATAGCTTTTATTAATTTGGTTAATTTACATTAGCTGCAGCTAAATATATAAATATATATAAATTAGCTAAAATGTCTGTCCAGACATTTTATGAAAAGGCCGTTTTTGTAAAATTGTGAAAAAAATTACTCGTAATTTATGAATATAAAATAACGTTAAGTCTGATTCTTTCAACCAGGGTCCGCTTTTGTGAATTTGTGAAAATAGGGTCCGTTACTGCAAACAAACTTTCTCAAGGTTTTTTTCAATTGTAAAGACATAACAAGATAATGATCAACACTGTAAAATCATAATTTAAAAAAATTACATTTTAAAAAATAAACAGCAAATGCAGCTACTAAATTAGCGATGCAACATACAAATATTTGGTATTTAGCCAATACTGCTGTACGCAGAATATTAATTTCGGATGAATAAATAAAGAAGCGTCTGCCGAAGACAAAATTTAGTTCCGTTTACATTTGTCAATTACATGGTACAATTTGTGAAGGGTCCGATTTAAAAATAAATTATTTTGTGAAGGGTCCGTTAACGGACCCAAATTTCTTCTAAACAGACACCTGAGCTGCAAATTAATAAAGTAAGACAAATTACGCTTTACTTCGAAATGAAAACTTAAATTAACTTGGTTGAAAACGGTTATTAAGGAAACATATTTCCTTATTAAAGACATAAGTTATTTTATTTCGATTTGAAAAATGCAAGTGGAAATACTAATGCAATATTTTGTTCAAGATATCATTACAAATGTTTTATTTTGTTTTTAAAAAATGGCATTTTTATTTCTTAGAAATTTTACTCGAAATAATTTCATAAAGGCAACCAAAGGATTAAATAAATTATGAAATACATGTTGGATCTAATTATAATCTAAGCTTTCAAAAATCATCACTGGTTATAAAAAGCACGAACTCCCTTTAACTAATCCACGGTGCCCTCGGTACCCCGTTTGGGAACAATTTTAATAAACATTAACTAATAAATATTTAAAGTATCAGAAAAAAATACCTAAATAGAAAAAGCATAATCCAATAACTTTTGATGGCATAATCAGTTTCTTTCCCTTAAATTTTTCAATTAAAAGGTATTCAACTAGGTAACTTTTCACAGTAAAAATGAAACAATAATTGTTACATATATATATTATCAACACATGAGAATTACTTGCTTAAAAAAGATTACTTGCAAGAGCAAACACATTTCAAAGAAACAAAATTTCTTTTCTTTAAAATTTTTCAATTAAAAGGCTTTTAACTGGGCAACTTTTCAAGGTAAAGATTAAAAAAAATCAATAATTGTACACAGATATATTATTAACACTCGAGAGTTACTTGTTTAAAAAAGATCACTTGTCAGAGCAAACACATTTCAAAGAATCATACTAAGAAAACTCATTAATAAGACTTTCAATTCAGGGTCTTCGTAAATCGAACACAACGTAGAGGTTAAAGCCAGGAGCGAGGAATTAACACAGTTAATTAAGTGTCGGAATAAGTACGTTCATCCATAAAAGCTTTAACAAATAATGATTATACACTTTCTATTATTTTAGCAGCTGATTGTATAGTGAAGACTAAAACAGAAAAATGAGCTTTAATCAGCTCTGATGATTCGGAATCCTGCGGATACTGTTCGAGGTTTGAGAATTCATCTAAGAGACCAGGAAATATACCGGACAAATAACTTTCACTGGGGGACATGATGATGTGTTTCTTGTAAATATTTCGAGGCAAGCCGTTTTGATCTAGAAAAGCTCTTTCGAGCAGAAGAAGCTGATCGTTGATGCGGCGGACAGTCATGGGATCAGATAAATCGACGGTCTCCTGCATTGAATGGAACTTGAGAGCCGCGCTCGAAAAGTTTTTTATGGCCGATTCTAGATGGTTCAGGTTGATGGCATGCTCTTCCATACCCCTCCTCATTCTAGAATTGAGGTTTAGAAAGAAATCTTGCAATATTTGGGCGTAATCGAATAAATTAAAGGGCAAGAAGAGGGAGTCGGCGAGATCTCGGAGAAGCTCGCCCAATATCTTGGTCACAGTGGCATGGTATTTAAAAGATGGATCGATTAAATTTTTGACAAACTCAAAATTGTCATACTCCGTGTGGTGCAGTGGATAAGAAGAGCTGGACATGGTCGAGTCGTGAACGAAAGATACATCTAAAGCGGGGATGCCGGCGTGGACAAAAAACGGAGCGTAATTTCCCCTCATATCCATTTCTCGAATTTTAGGCCTTACTAACTGCATGGAATCTTTCAAATAACTATCTAACAAACTGGAGTTGCTATCCACTTTTGTTTTAGAAATGATATCTTCCAAGCTGTCTGACGGCAGATGCATTATGGGCCGTGCATAATTAGGATATAACAGATCAGACCTATTTCTCTTGTGCGGAAAACTCATCAGCCAGGCGTCATAAACAGTTTTCATGCCTTCAGCACGGTCTAGTTCGTTTGGATTTAAAACCTCCTTTGTTGCATTAAAAATGGCATTGTAGAGTAGCGGAGATGCTACGGCTCGTAGCGATGCGTTACCCGCAACTAATATATCGGCATTTATATAAGCTACAGCTCGACCGTGGAGGAGTTTGAGGTTATCTTCTAGCCATTCTGTAGAGCCAATTAAATTGTGTTCTTCCGCACCCCAGCTACAAAACATAATAGTCCTCCTAGGCCGCCAGCCTTCTTTGAGCAGGCGTCCATACACTCTCGAAAGTTCCAACAAAGCTGCCGTACCACCTGCAGCATCTACAGCGCCGTAAGACCAAGCGTCTCGATGCCCGCCTATGATCACATACCGGTCTGGTTCGGTTTTACCACGAATGGTGCCGATAACATTATAAATTGTTTTATTCACGTACTGATTATAGACTTGAAGTTGAATCTTCCAAGCAGAATCTTTGAAAGATCCACCCAGTTTATACGTGAAATTGAAACCACCCTGCCATTCTTTCGGGGCATCCGGACCCGCCAGTGAGCTCAGCAAAATGTATGCATTGTCATAACTAATAGGTTGAACAATAAGGGCTGGCAAGAGAGCTGAAGAAATGGAGAGTCGGTTTGCATCGTGGCGAGCCGGATATCCTGGCGTCAGAGGATCCCCGGCGCCATTCCATAGAATTGAATCCGTTCTAGCAGCATTGGAAGGCAGCCACCAAGTTTTAGGATACGAGTCGGAATGCAGAATGGGAGGATTATATTTATCCGGGTCGGGATACAGTATCAAACCGGCGGCTTTAAACTGCTGCGCATTCCAGACTATTTCATCTGCTGGCAATTTCCAGTGTCTAGCAATTAAAATTTTACCCTCAATAGGAATTCCAAGAGATTTTAAATAAGTAAAATCAGAAGTTTGTCCGTAATTGATGTAGACCAGGTTTCCCGTAGCGTTGCCGGGCAAGGAATACGCACTAAACGCTGGGTTGAGGGTCTTCTTTCCATGAGATTCGATTTTCACCACGTCTCTATTGAGGTTGTCAATTATTTTAACAACATTGGGTTTTTCCTTATCAGGATAGCTTAACAAAACATTGTATTCGACGATATCTGCAGAATCCATGGAATGTTTCAACCAATCAGATTTAATATTCAGAGCGAAATGACGATCCGTTGAGCTGCCAGCTATGTGTGGTTCACGACTGTAATCTTTAATAAAATTTTTTATTTCTTCACTACTAATCATTTGTGAAATTTTTCTTCTCACATAAGGGTTGGCCTCTTGAACTGAATGTAACGCTACTGACAAACTAGGAATGCACTGGCTATGTTCGGAATGCGCAAAATAGCCGATAATTAAACCAAGCAGAGCACTTATTAATCCAATACCAATCCCAGCCACAACGAGATTTCTATTGGAAACTCTGATTTCTTCGGTAGTTCTCTGATATATCTCCACATCTCCGACCTCTTGATCACCCCACGTAACTTGTTCAGCTTCCATACCGTCTTCGTTGCGATATGGCCTATACTGAGCTGTCATTTTCATTATGGAAAACTAAAAAATAAAATGTATCGCTTCGTACGGAAGCGGTACACCATACCATTACTTTAATTCGACGTTAATCCAGAAATGAATAAAAGCTGTAAGCTATGCGATTCACTGATATCTCAGACGATAAAGAACAGCTGGTTTTTGGTAATGAGCTAAACGTGATTTACAGGTAATGTCGAAAATGCAAAAATTTAATTAAAATTTATTCTAATCCTTTAACAGCGGTTGTTTTTTGTTGATGGATGGAATGCGCCTGATTTGTGTTGCCAGATTATGATTATCCACAATCAATATCGATTTCGAATAAAATCTCTGCATTCAAAGCAAAGCAAGTTTTAGCTAAAATAGAATTAACCACAAAATATCATCATAAAATTTTTTAATAAAACACATAAAAATTTAGGCTATGATCCCAAAGGAACAAACGTTGTTAAGCTGCCGCTGCTGATAGTTGAAAAGATAAATGTTATTGGCTGATTATATCATCGATGGCAACGTTTTCGCTTAATCAGTGTTGCACACTTTAGTTATTTTTTTTACCGTTCCCGAATATTAGTTTTGGAATTAATTAATTTTTGAGTTCTAAACTCGCAGCCATTGAACGAGTTAGGGATAGAAAAATGACACCCTCCCATTTTCCCTCCCAACTATTGGATGTTTACAAACAATTTGCTAAGGTTCCCAGCAGATCACCGAAGTCAAGCATCACTGGCTGCGGTTAGTGTGCGGGTGGGTGAAACACTTGGATCCGTCTGCGTAAGGACCGAGGGTGTGCGGTATTGGTCCTCGTTAAACTGTGCTACCGCAAAGTGCTCGACTTCACGTGCAGGTCGTAGGACTTCCGAAGAGGGGGTGCCATCCCCTCTGCAGAGGACCAAAATTGTGATGGCATGTCTTCGGATCATCCTCAGGGATGCTTCCCAGACAGCCGCCAATAGCCCATTGAGCTGCTCTAGTGCAACGTAAATTAACTATTACAACAACCAAACAATTTGCTGGTGAAATTTTTTCGAACGAGAAGTGTGGGGAACGTTCGACTCCGGAGCTACGCACACGACTCACTCCGTAACTCCCTTTAATATTAACTTATAATTTTCAAACTCTGCCAGAAATTAGTGTTTTATATACCAAACAATCGTACCAAAGGGAATATTTATACACTAATTTGGGGGCACATAAAGAGCCAAAATAGATTTTGTTAATTAACCGGAAGAAAGCTCTTTTAGCTATATATTCGTGGAAGCAACGTGCCAGTCGTGGTGTGGTTTTTAACGCTAAGGGTAAAGAAGTTTGCAGACTGGGTGGTCAGGGGCTCGGTCCTGGTCACGGAGTATTTTTTAATTTTTTTTTCTATTTACTTCGCTTTATTTTTTAAAATTTATTTTTCGATATTTCATTGTGATTAAAGTGTTATATACATCAGAAAAACTATTTTTCTTCGGGAAAGAGGGAATAATAGCTGAAAAACGGATAAATTTCGACTCCGGAGCTAAGCACACGACTCACTCCGTAACTCCCTTTAATATTAACTTATAATTTTCAAACTCTGCCAGAAATTAGAGTTTTATATACCAAACAATCGTAGCAAAAGGGAATATTTATACCCTAATTAGGGGGCACATAAAGAACCAAAAAAGATTTTGTTAATTAACCGGAAGAAAGCTCTTTTAGCTATATATTCGTGGAAGCAACGTGCAATTCGTGGTGTGGTTGTTAACGCTAAGGGTAAAGAAGTTTTTAGACTGGGTGGTCAGGGGTTCGGGCCTGGTCCCGGAGTATTTATTAAATTTTTTTTATCTACTTTGTTTTATTTTTTAAAATTTATTTTTCGATATTTCAACGTGATTAAAGTGTTATACATATGAAAATGATCATTTTCGTTTGGGAAAGAGGGAATAATAGCTGAAAAACGGATATATTTCGACTCCCGAGCTACGCACACTAATCACTCCGTAACTCCCTTTAATATTAACTTATAATTTTCAAACTCTGCCAGAAATTAGAGTTTTATATACCAAACAATCGTACCAAAGGGAATATTTATACACTAATTAGGGGGCACATAAAGAGCCAAAATAGATTTTGTTAATTGACCAGATGGAAGCTGCTTTAGCTATATATTCGTGGAAGCAACGTGCGAGTCGTGGTGTGGTTGTTAACGCTAAGAGTCGAGAAGTTTGTAGACGTGGAGGTCAGGGGTTCGGGCCTGGTCACGGAGTGTTTATTAAATTTTTTTTTATTTACTTCGTTCTATTTTTTTAAAATTTATTTTTCGATATTTCGCTGCACCAGAGGGGTGATTTGAGCGTTTCTAACTCTCCATCGACAGGTTCTAAGGTCGGTTTTACACGGACATTTGAGTATTCCAAAGTTAGGAACATAACATAAGGCTCGACCACCGGAAAAATTTATTGACGGCAAAGGAGGTGAAAGTGCAGTAGGGATGCACCTGTGAGGTGCGCGCGACTAACGGAAGGTTAACGCTAAGGGTAAAGCAGTTTGTGGTCTGGGTGGTCAGGGGTTCGGTCCTGGTCACGGAGTATTTTTTAATTTTTTTTCTATTTACTTCGTTTTATTTTTAAAAATTTATTTTTCGATATTTCAACGTGATTAAAGCGCTGTATATATCAGAAAAATTATTTTTCTTCGGGAAAGAGGGAATAATAGCTGAAAAACGGATAAATTTCGACTCCGGAGCTAAGCACACGACTCACTCCGTAACTCCCTTTAATATTAACTTATAATTTTCAAACTCTGCCAGAAATTAGAGTTTTATATACCAAACAATCGTACCAAAGGGAATATTTATACACTAATTAGGGGGCTCATAAAGAGAAAAAATAGATTTTGTTAATTAACCGGAAAGAAGCTCTTTTAGCTATATATTCGTGGAAGCAACGTGCGAGTCGTGGTGTGGTTGTTAACGCAAAGGATAATGAAGTTTGTAGACAGGGTGGTCTGGGGTTCGGTCCTGGTCGCGAAGTTTGTAGACTGGGTGGTCAGGGGTTCGATTCTGGTCACGGAGTATTTTTTAATTTTTATTTTATTTACTTCGTTTTATTTTTTAAAATTTATTTTTAGATATTTCAACGTGATTAAAGTGTTATATATATCAGAAAAATTATTTTTCTTAGGGAGAGAGGGAATAATAGCTGCAAAACGGATTAATTTCGACTCCGGAGCTACGCACACGACTCACTCCGTAACTCCCTTTAATATTAACTTATAATTTTCAAACTCTGCCAGAAATTAGAGTTTTATATACCAAACAATCGTACCAAAGGGAATATTTATACACTTATAAGGGGGCACATAAAGTGCCAAAAAGAATTTTGTTAATTAACCGGAAGGAAGCTCTTTTAGCTATATATTCGTGGAAGCACCGTGCGAGTCGTGGTGTGGTTGTTAACGCTAAGAGTAAAGAAGTTTGTAGACTGGGTGGTCAAGGGTTCGGTCCTGGTCACGGAGTATTTTTAAATTTTTTTTTTTATTTACTTCGTTTTATTTTTTAAAATTTATTTTTCGATATTTCAACGTGATTAAAGCGCTGTATATATCAGAAAAATTATTTTTCTTCGGGAAAGAGGGAATAATAGCTGAAAAACGGATTAATTTCGACTCCGAAGCTACGCGCACGACTCACTCCGTAACTCCCTTTAATATTAACTTATAATTTTCAAACTCTGCCAGAAATTAGTGTTTTACATACCAAACAATCGTAATAAAGGGAATATTTATACACTAATTAGGGGGAACATAAAGAGCCAAAATAGAGTTTGTTAATTAACCGGAAGGAAGCTCTTTTAGCTATATATTCGTGGAAGCAACGTGTGAGTCGTGGTGTGGTTGTTAACGTTAAGAGTAAAGAAGTTTGTAGACTGGGTTGTCAGGGGTTCGGTCCTGGTCACGGAGCATTTTTTAATTTTTTTTTCTATTTACTTCATTTTATTTTTTAAAATTTATTTTTCGATATTTCAACGTGATTAAAGTTTAATATATATCAGAAAAATTATTTTTCTTCGGGAAAGAGGGAATAATAGCTGAAAAACGGATAAATTTGGAATCCGGAGCAACGCACACGACTCACTCCGTAACTCCCTTTAATATTAACTTATAAATTTCAAACTGGACAAGAGATTTAAGGTTATTATACTAAACAATCGTACTAAAGAGAATTTTTATAGACATATCAGGGGGCATACAATGGCCCATAATAGGTTCCATTAAGTACCCGCTTTAAAGTTCTTTATGCTTAATATTCGCGGCAGCAGTGTGGAAGGCATAGCGTGGTTAGATGCGCGACGGGCTGGTAAGCAAAGCGAATGGAGTTCGATACTGATCGAGATTAATTTTTAAAACTGCGATACCGGTCAAGTGTTCATTTTATTTATTTATTCTATATTAATTTTTTGATATCTTTTTCAATATTTTCACGTGAATGAAGTGTTCAATATATAAAAATTATTATTTTTCTTTTGGAAAAAGCGAATAATTGCTAAAAAACGGATAAGTTTCGGCTCCGCAGACGAGCATACGAATCGCCCCGTATCTTCCTTCAATATTAACTTATGAATTTCAAACTCGGAAAGAGATTGGAGTTTAATATACTAAACAATCGTTCCAAGGAGAATTTTTTTAGACAAATCTTGGGTCATACAATGGCTCAAAATGGGTTAAGTTAAGTAACCGCAGGAAAGTTCTTTAAGCTTAATATTCGTTGCAGCAGCGTGTGGGACGTGTTGTCGTTAGTGGCGGCCTGGGGCTAGCTAGTTAGGAAAGTTGTAGATCTGGGGTCAGGGGTTCGATACCTGTCAAGGTATAATTTTTAAAACGTTTTCATTTGTTTTTCTCGATATTATTTTTTTTACATCTTTTTCAATTTTTTAACTTAAATAAGGGGTTCTATGTATAAAAATTATTTTTCATTTCTCCCACGGTAAGCCTGGTGGTAAGGGGACTCTAGAGCATGATTTGTCCACGGCTCAGGATATTTTACGTCCGCACTGCGGTTGATGCGTGTCGGGTGCGGAATTCGTATCAACCAACCATCGCAAGGACTCGATCCCGGGTTGCCGCATTGGGTGGCAAGCGCTCTGCACCCTGAGCCACCACGACTCTTTATTGATGCATTTCATTTTATAACCGTCATTTAACACCCGACCCAATTTAGGGTATACGGCTACCGATGTGATGTTCAATTTCGTTGCCTTGTAATTTTGAACGCAACACAGAAAGCAAGGGAACTCCTGGATCAAGTATCTGGAGAAATTTGCCTTCCTGGAGGACTTTTTGATGGAACTAACCCTCATTTGAGTTATATAGAGAGAAAAATCACGGAAATATGCCATGGTTAGCCTGACGGTACGGGGACTTTAACCCATGATCCGTCTGCCTCTGAGCATATTTTA